GCTGGATCAGGCCCAAGGCCCAGCCACATCCAACACGCTGCTTCCAAAAATGACCACCCAGGTGCTTCTGGGCTTGTCCCGTCTGTCTGGTACCCAGTGGTAGACTGCCCTGAAAGGTGGAGGTTTCATTTAGCTATGGCCAGGGGTCATTTCCTGCGGGAGCGCACAGGAGCGGAGCTCCGGCAGTAAGGAGCCCAGGGGGCGGGCACATGCAACAAGCCCAGCCCCCTGCTCCCAGCAGCCCCCAGTCAGGCCACAAGGAGCAAGAAGCAGCCAGGTAAATTGCAGAGGCCTCCCCCCCGGCCTGCCTTCAGGTACAAGCTCTCCCTCCTCTGTGAGGGCAGATCTGCACGTTCCCCCCTCCCCCAATAGCTAGCAATCCAAAACAGTCCAGTGGAGCCTGAGCGGTGGGTGTTGCCTTCTGACACACTCCCAGTGATGTCAGGGGGGGTGTCATATGCAAATGAGTTATGCTAATGAGCTCCTGCACCTCTTTTTCTACAAAATGACCCCTGGCTATGGCCTTCAATAGTTGATGTCATCAGCCAGCCGACAAGAATACAGCCGTCGGAACACGACTGATCCAGCCCGCAGATGAAGCCTCCGGCCAGCTACAATGTGTGTGTAATTAAAATACTGTATGTTGTCTTCCCTATCCCCCACGAATATTGTTAGTCCAAATTTCATGGGTAACTGTAAATCGCTCTGAGCCCACAGGTGTGTGGGGAAAAGCAATCAATAAATCAAAAGTAAAAAAAATAGTTGGTTGGAACTGTTGGCCACCGTGTGGCAGTGAATTCCCCAAGTCGTCTCTGCATTTCGGGAAGGCAGGTCCTTCTGTTTGCTTGTCCTGAATTTGCTGCTCATCAGGTTCATCGGGTGACCCCCTCATAGGATGGGAGAGAAAGGCCTCTTCCCCCACCTTCTCCACACTTTTAAAATAATTTTACAAGCTTCTATCATCTCTCCTTCCTAACTGCAAAGCCCGACGCTCCTTAGCCTTTTCTCTCAGGGCCAGGTCCACAACAGCCTTTCTGAGGTGAGGTGGAAAGGAAAAGAGACACAGGAGGGCAGCCATGGATGAGCAGTGAGGGAAGGAAAGAAAGAAACCCAGAACTGAAATGGAAGCACAGGGGAAGGGAAGGCATAGGGAAGGAAGGAAGGAAGGAAGGAAGGAAGGAAGGGAGGAGAAAGGAAGGAAGGAGAACTAAGATATGAGGGGGAGGGAGGGGAGAGAGAGAGGAAGGGAGGAAGGGAGGAAGGAAGGAAGGAAGGAAGGAAGGAAGGAAGG